TTTTTCGACATCTCAACTTCCAAAAGTGGTCCGACCCCCTGGTGTTTTGTACATTTTGACTTGGAAATGTGCTTCGCGCCACAACGGCGTGCACTTTTTCGACATCTCAACTTCCAAAAGTGGTCCGCTCCTCTAGTGTTTTGTCCATTTTGACTTGGAAATGTGCTTCGTGCCACAACGGCGTGCAACTTTTCATCTCTCATCTGGCCAGCTGGCTCCGCACCCGCCGCTTTAGCGAGCCTACTTTTCGACCCTCCGGAGCCGCAAATCATTGGAAAAACACAGTGTTTCGCGACTTTCCTACCTTTTCGCGCATCTGCATCTTCTTTCTTCTGATCTTTTCTCTTCTGACTCTTCTCACCTCTGCTTTTCAACTGTCCATATCGTCGGAAGTTTCACTTCTAAACTTCCTTCGACAAAGTCCGTCCTCGAACGTCGATGATCTACCTCTGCGGTGCGACGGGTGCGAGACGGTCTCGTGTGTGGTAGGATCATTCTCGGATCATGGTCGGATCGGTTCCGCATTGTAAATGGGGTTTCAAGTGTTTTTCGTGCATGTGCGGTCGACAGAATTCCATTGTGATTTGCAACTGTAGGATCGTTCCCGCAATGTAAATGGGATTGCAAGTGGTGCTGGTGGATGAGTTGCCGATGGAGTTTTGAAGGAAGTCTCGCACGAAATGCGTTTTTTTTTCCATTTTGGCGCTAGTGAATTTCCTTCTAAAAATCCTTTTAAAAAGTGCTTCAAAATCTTCTTTTTTTCGCTCTGGCGTCGAGATCCGGTTTTGAAGCTACAATTTCCGACGCCGTTGCGCGTAGTTCTATTGTGTTTTGCAACTCACATTGTAATGGCTGCGTCAAGGTTGCTTCATGCTGTGGCTGCATGCGTAATACTATTGTCTTTTGCAGCTGGACTTCGTAAATCGTATTGGATTGGCTGCATGAAGGCTGCGACAGTAATTTGTCATCAGATTTTCTCCATTTTGGCGCTAGTGATTTTCCTTCTAAAAATCATTTTAAAAAGTGCTTCGAAATCGCCTTTTTTTCGCTCTGGCATCAAGATCCGGTTTTGAAGCTACAATTTCCGACGCCGTTGCGCGTAGTTCTATTGTGTTTTCCAACTCAGTCTCTGCAGATCGCATTGTAGTCGCTGCGTCAAGGTTGCTTCCTGCTTTGGCTGTATGCGTAATACTATTGTCTTTTGCAGCTGGACTTCGTAAATCGTTTTGGCGTGGCTGCATGAAGGCTGCGAAATGGATTTGTTAGCAGATTTTCTCCATTTTGGCGCTAGTGATTTTCTTTCTACTAGACGACGGTTGGCCCGAGAGCGAAAAACACGTCCTTCAAGCAGCTCTGAGTATGGTAGTCGTAAAAAATAGTCGGTGAATGGTTGGTGAATTTTATATGAGCTATGGAGGGGAAAGTTGTGAAATTACACACAGACGCTTTTACACACAAACACTTTCACAGACGCGTTTACACACAGAGACTTTTACATACAGACGCTTTTACACACAGACACTTTTACACGCAGACGCTTTTACACACAGGCGCTTTTACACGCAGATGCTTTTACACACAAACACTTTCACAGACGCGATTACACACAGAGACTTTTACACACAGACGCTTTTACACACAGACACTTTTACACGCAGTTGCTTTTACACACAGGCGCTTTTACACGCAGATGCTTTTACACACAGAAGCTTTTACACACAGACACTTTTACACAAACGCTTTTACACACAGACCCTTTTACACACAGACCCTTTTACACACAGACGCTTTTACACACAGACGCTTTTACACGCAGATGCTTTTACACACACACACACGCACTTTCATACACAGAGGCTTTTACACACAGAAGCTTTTGAAGAGTGTCTCTATATGACATTTTATGGTCCTGAACTCAAACTGTTCTGTTTTTGACATCAAGCACATGATGGCATCGAGCTCTGTTGCAAACGTTTGCAGAAATTTCACTAGTGAAGTATTGTCACATGTGTCATTTACAGCATCATGGTACCGATCTTTTTTTGGCCATTTATGTGGGATTTTCCATAATAAAATGAAATAACATGTGTCATACACAGCATCATGGTACCGAGCTTTTTTGGGCCATTTATGTGGGATTTTCCATACTAAAATGAAATGACATGTGTCATACACGGCATCATGGTACCGAGCTTTTTTGATAGTTTCTGTGGGATATTCCCAGAATAAAATGAGATAACGCGTGTCATTTACTGCATTATGGTATTGGACCTTTTTTTGTGCAAACGTTTGCAGACATTTCACTAGTGAAGTCTTGTCACATGTGTGATTTACAGCATCATGGTACCGATCTTTTTGGGCCATTTATGTGGGATTTTCCATAATAAAATGAAATAACATGTGTCATGCACGGCATCATGGTACCGAGCTTTTTTGGGCCATTTATGTGGGATTTTCCATAATAAAATGAAATAACCTGTG